GTCTGTGGTATGTACACGCTTTCCGCGCCTCAACATCCGTGCTCTCTGCACACGTGCCCCTCTAACCCCCCTTCATCCATAGGACCCCGCCTCCCCTAGGCCCAGACAACTCCCACACGTCTGCCACACCATCTGCCGGGCGAAGGGGATGTATGAGAGGATGTAGTAGGACAGGGACAAGAATTGAACGATGATCATCAAGACCAACAGGGGGCCTTGCCCGGGCACGTCGGAGAAGGCGATGAGGAGGGTGAACACCAGAGTGAGGACGTACACACTGGTGCAAACCGCGCGGGTGGGGTGAAACATGGACTTGACCTGCGAGAAGGGCCCGGAGAGGAAGCAGGAACCGGCCAGGGAGATGAGGTTGCCGATCGTGTACATGACCGCAAAGGGCTCTGGGTGGCCGGTCAGGAGTTTAGTGAAGCGGAAGAAGGAACCGAACTCCAGGATCATACCCACAAGGAAGCAGCACAAGCAGCCAAAGAGACGTTGCTGCCAGGTCAAGGTCGGGCACCACCAGCACATATCTTCTTCCAGGCGTTCGCAGAAGGTTTTAGGTCGTGCTTCCACTCCCAGCAGACGGCGGGCGCTGTCCATAAAATTGGAGGAGGACGAGGTAGCAAAAGCGGCGGGCCCGCTCGAAGACGAAGAGCTAGCGCCCGGCCCCAAGCCGCTTTCCAAGTTCATTTGTCCCTTAACAAAAATTGGGCGTGTATCCTAGTTGGGCAATGCTCCGACGTGAGAGGCGAAAATTGTCAAAATAAAATTCGAAAGATGATGACGACCGACACGTTAGGCATCGCGGCCTGAAATGCAAACATGCAACGTCAACGAGCATACCTCCGCAACACTCAACCCCCTACACTGGAAAAAAATCCCGTGTCCGTGGAAGACGGTGAGAGGGGGCTCCAAAATGTGGTGAGACGGTCAGTGCGGGATAATGCGCGCCAGGGTTCAAAGCTGGTTAGTAAACAGTGACGTCGCTCAAAGCGTGCTGCTTTCTACTTCCATTTCCCCCCCCCGCTGGGTAATAAAGGGGCACTGAGATTTAATGTGTGCGAGCGCATCTATTCTGATTTTTGCTCTGCGTTCCTTTGTGTGACGTCGGTGGGGCGTGAAGAGATAGATGTCAGGTACTGTAATTCCCATGGATATCTGGGAAAGGTTCAAGTTACCTCAGAGCACATACCACATAACCACCGTGTCTCCCCCCGTCACAATACGGCCAGTCGAAGCAACCGTGTCGAACCCCCCTTCCTGGTTACGCCCGTCTCATTGCTCATCCTCTGTATCACATCGCAGGCATGAAAATCTCTAGGTTTCTCTTCATCTCCTTGGTGCCTATGATGGCCAGGAGCACGTCGATGGGAGACAGGAGACGACGCTGCCCTGCTTTTAGCTTTCTCGGGCTCACGCTACCAGCCATTCCAGACCTGCAAATGCCGACTTCACCCATCGAGGTGAAGTTGGTGTATCAGCGCGTCCTCGATCCAATGTACGTAGGTTTGTTTTGAGAGCTCCATGTCCGAGGGAATATTTCTCTCCACGGAGCCCCGGCATGAGGGATGTGGGGAATCGACCATTAATCTTTGCCTTCTCCTCTTCACGCTCGTATATATCAGACATTATGGTGACTACTGTGGACCCACACCCGAGGTAATTTTACGGCCTATTCTTCCCCTCCTTCTCCCTCTCCTTGTTCCCCTAACCTCCCGACTTTCCTCCCCTCTTTTACAGATCACCCCGGACACCGGCTGTCGCCATCCCCTCAACCTGGCTGCCTTGGACGACACGGATGAGATCTGCCGGCTGCACGATCATTTCTATTGCAAATGTGATAGCGTGTACCACAGGTATGGATGATCCCTCGTGTTGTCTATGGACGGAGGGAAAGACCTTGAAGGGGGAGGAAGAGGGCAGAAGGTGACGTATCCTGATTTGCTGCTATCACCACCTTAGCATCGACAGTCTTTCACTTCTTCTGTCGCGGTCCTTGCGTGGAAGTCATGAGTCATGTTGTCCCACGTCTGTCTCCTCTTTTCTTCCTGCCATAATTCCCAGGCAGGGCAAAAGCCCTCCCTCCTCCGCCCTGATCGCCACACGCTCCCTCTCCGCCGACTTTCGAAAGACGTACTTCGCCAATCTGGACAAGGACTATTACATGTGCGTGCACGAGGCGGATCAGGAAATGCTGGGAAAATTCGATACTTTGGTGTCTGAGGGTAAGTAGGGGAAGGAAGGAGGCAGGCAGGGAAGGAAGGGACATGAAAGGCAGACGATGGGAGGAAAGGCGACACAATGCCGGTGGGTGGCAGTACATAAAAAGCATCCAAGGCGTGTGGACGTTCCATCCTCCTTCCTGACTGGGGGTTCACGTCCAGCTCTCGGGCGTCGTCTGTATACCCCACTCTAACTCGACCCCCCGCGGCCCATTATCCCATCCCCGTCGTGCCGCTCTCTCTCTCCCTTCCCCGTGTCCCCAGGGCGCCTCCCTCCCTCCTACTGGGACCCTTTGACTCGCTGGAAGTTCGATTCTCTCCTGGATGTTTTCCGGCGCAACATGGCTGTGGACGCAGAGATCCTGGACCTGGTAAGCGGGTGGGGGATAATGGCGCGAACGGGAAAGAAGCCCCTGTCGGGACGGACGCTTGGAAGCGACTCATTTCGATCAACGTGTATCGGCTCCACAGCAAGCGCAAGATGGCCGGGAAAGAGGAAGAGCATACTGGTTCGAGGAGGACGCGGACGCGCATGCGGTGAAGCAAGGGCCTGGGGATGACGTGCCCCCTGCGCGGAGTGAAGGCAAGGGTTCGCAAGTAGTGACAGCTGCTGCAACGTCGATGACGCATTAAATTTGTGCATAGATCGAATGTAGAACATATCACTTGAGAAGGAAGCGTAAGGATATGAGCATGAAAAACTCGAATGCATGTAATGGGAAGGCACATACATCACGACGAGGTCAGAGATATCGTGCATACAATCTCAGGGCTGTACATATGTTGACGTTGAGGCTCGTCCCTTTGTTTCGAGAAGAATGGAGACACTACGCTGTAGCAAGCGTCTTAGATTCATTTCGCTCGAAACGGTGGTCCTGAAGTAAGAGGCAATCCGATAAGTACTTGGGTCCGCATCAAGCTCATGAAGCCTCGACATGCGAATAATTTGTGCAATTTTGATGGGGTTGGTGGAAAGGGCAGTTGCCAAGAGGCAACCAGGATGGGTTTACTTAGTCGCAAAAACGGCCACGGCCTGACAGCCAAACTTCCTGAATACTGCTCAGAGTAGTCGCTCGCCCATGCTGATCTAATTGCGTGCTCAGATACGATAGACTCAATGGAAAATCCTTCGTATTAATGGGGTCAGGGTCGTGGGATTAAGTTCCATCCCTCCCTCGCGGCCCATGGTCTGGTTGAACCAGGGCACTGTCTGTCAAACAAAGCCAACCACCCGACACGATACGTGACTCTCAATCTTTTATGCGTTGCTTGATGATGCCTAGGAACCACAATCCTTGCTCGGCAAAGCCATGCACAGACGAGGGTGTTACATATTACTTGGTTGATTTGGCTCGATCCCTACCTCCTGCTTGGACATACCCATTACCAAACAAAAGTAAAAGGAAAAAAGGGGATCATGTCCACCATGCTCTCACTCACCCACAACAAGTACGGCATGCATATTATTACGAATATGGAGACTTTGACGACGGTGTACTTATGTTACGGCTTCGCCCTTTCAAACCCGTTTTGTTGTGTTTCTCTCAGTAACGTCATTCCTCATCGGTGCCCCGGGGAGGTAAAGTGAAGACCTGCGGGGCTTTCATACAACTGCATTCGAAGTGCATGTCCATCCCGCATATTCGACGTACACACGCCTCACGAATGTGGACACGACGCACACATCTCTGTGATTGAACACGGGGGGTTCGAATTAATTTTGCCCTTTTGTCTTCTTCCCTTTCCTTATAGCTTTGACAGCGTCATGAAGCCCTCCCTCGCCCTCCCGAGTCTTTTGGCAACGCTCCACTTCCTCTTTCTCCTTCCGCCCTCCTCACCCTCTGCATGGGATCCACATCCCTGGCCATCAACTCCTCCGTATGTGGAAGGCTGGTATGTGCGCCTCTCAGGTCTGGAGACTGGCGATTCCATTGCCCTTGTTTTCGGTGCCTCCCTCCTCCCGCCTGCCCCTCCTCCCTCTCTCCCTCCTGTCTATCTGGCCATCCTCCATGGCGATGTCTTGACCAACAAGACTGTTGTGTACGAAAGCACGCCACCGTTGGAGGCGGTGGAGATACGGCAGAAGAACGGCCAGCCCGTCACAGAGGCTGTCGATTGGAAGGCTCCTCCGGGATTCACTTGGCGGGTGATAGATGAAGCAGAGGATGGAGCCGCAAGGCAGGCGCCCCAGGGCAGCAAAAGCACGACTTCTTCCTTCTCTCCCGAGGCGTCTTCCTCCATGAACGCCATTCAAAGGGCTCGCCACTTGTTCCTCCGAGTGACCCTCCCCACGGCCGCCTTCTGGGCCCAGATCGACATCCCTCCCTGGAAGTACGACGGTCCCCCGCGTCCTCACTCGTGGACCGACGTCGTGGACGCTGTCCCCTTACACTGGTACATTCATTCCCTCTCTTCCCGGGTCGTGTACGCCCGCTTGGAGTTGAAAGAGGAGGGGAGGCAGGAGGGGGGGAGGGCGGTGGAGGGGAAGGGAGGAGGGAGGGGAAAGAGGATAATCGAAAGTCAC